ACACGGAAAGAGAATCTGGGGTCAAGGTGGAGGCTGGGACTTGGGGACCAGTCCATAGGTGACCTGTGTCATGTAAGGTAAGGGGGTCACATGCGTGGGAGGGACCCAGGTCTCCTTCCTGCTCTGCCTCCTGCTTCCCACGTTTTGGGCCAAATTCGGATCCCCCCACGCTCCCTCCCCCAGCCTCGCAGGAAATAGACAAAGCGATTTCAAAGACAACCAGAAACGCTTTTTATTTACTAGAGCTCAACACCCGGGCCCAGCCCTGAGCCCAAAACCGAACAACTTAAAATCTGACTGGGGCTTCTCTTTGCCCCTAAAATAAAATCTAGGCGGTTGCCATTCCCATCCGGGTATCCACACCCCTTTCCTGTGGGAGCTTCGTTGACTTCACTGTTGGAGGATGAAAAAACGGGAGGGAAAAAAAAAAAGGAACTTTACAAACTATGGTGATTTGGGGGCAGTTGGGAGATGGCGGAGAGACGCCCTCTCTCTGGGGAAAGGACCGTGGCGGGCACCAGTGCCGTGAAACGGAGTGAATAATGGGACGAACAACCAGGGGGAGTTCAAGGGTATCGGCTCACCCCAAGGCTCTCCAGCCTCAGATAAGCCTTTGAAGATATGGTGTCCCTCAGGCATGCCCCGTCCTTCCCCCAGCTCCTGATGGATGGGCTGCTGAGAGCGGGGAAGGACCCATCCGGCGCCGTCCACGATGAAACGGTGGGTCTTCTGGTGCCCGGAGCAGACGGAGAAGGCTGGTTCAAGTCAGAATCCCATCTTGAAGTTCTTGGGCTGGAAGGTCCAAGCCAGCCTGTTCACAGCTCTCCAAATTCTGAGGGTTGCCCTGAGAGAGCACAGTGAGCTCCTGTAGGTCCAAGAGTCCAAGAATTCCACAAGGAATGGAACCCTGAGGGCTGAGAAGTCAAAGGGGCAGGGCTCATGTCCCAGAAGAACTAAAGATCCATGAACCGTGACCCAGAAGGAGCCACAGGGCTGTGTGGTCCAAGGGGCAGGGGTCCTGCTGCACCAAGAATCCACAGACACTGCCAGGACAGAACCCCAGGGGCTGAGAGTTCCAAAGGGCAGGGCTGGCCTGGCTCCCCATAGCCTCCGTTGTTTCAGGATTCAGCAGGGATGGAGTTCTGGGGGTCAGACATTCCAGAGGGCTGGGTGAGTCCGGGGAAGTGGGGGAGTCCAGGGACTTGGGAGGATTGAGCCAGGAGGGCTGGGGGGTGAAGGGGGTGGGCACTTGATGGTCCTCAGCGCTTGACCTTGCGGCCGGCCGAATTGCGCCCACTGCGGCGGTACAGAGACTGCTGGCCTCCGTTTAGCGGGCAGTACTTGAGTGTGTGGGCCTGGTCCCCCGTGGCCCCGCACAGGGGACACACATAGTGCCGCAGGATGGGACACACCACCACGCCCTCTGGTGTCTTCAGCTGGTGCGAGGAGTACACATGGCGAGATTCCCCATTGTGTTTGCAAAAGTTGCACAGGGTGGCCAGGCCCCCGCTGGCCCCCTGCCCTCCCTGCCCCTGATCCTGCCCCAGCTGGGGCCCAGGTCCCGGCTCCCCAGTAGCTTGGGCCTCCGGCCCTTGCCCCCGACTCTGGATCAGCGCCAACACCACCTGGCTCAGGTTGAAATAATCCTTCCACATGTCGAAGGGTGGCAGCTGCATGGCATACAGGTGGAGGTGGTGGGCAGCTGGAGACAGGTGGGCTGGGGGCCCGGGGGCAGGAGCAGCAGATGGTTTTCTGGAGCAGAGAGCAATTGCGCCCCCTTTTATACTCCCCAAAGACCCTTCTAAGCAAAGGTGGAGCTTAGGATTTAAAGGGCCCACCCCTTACTCTTGATCCCTTCTGACTTTAATTCCCCATGGAGACCTGGAAGGGGGTCATTTCCCTTGTTGCTGGTCCTTGCTGGGCCTGCAAGGTGCTCTGTGACCTCTGGAAAGACCCTTCTCCCTGGGCCTCAGTTTCCCTATCCATTCAATAAAGCTCCATATCTGAAAATTCCCCCAACCCCCATCCTCCCTTACTCCAAGGCTGGGAGTCTGCTGCCTCCATATACTCCAGAGCCATTCCTAATCATAACAACAGCCCCTTACTGTGAGCCAGACGTTGTGCTGCACAGTTACCTTCATGATCTGATCTAATTTTCACAACAATTCCATGTGGGTAACACAGTTATGATCCCATTTTATAGACAAGTCACTAAAGCTCAGAGAGGGAAACTCAGTGGCCCAGAGTCATATAACACGCAAGTGGCAGAGCTGAGGCTCTAACCCAGGGCCATATGACTCCAAAGCAAATGCTTTCCTACCTCTTTTGGATGAAAACCTCATTTTTCATCACATCTGGAACTAAGAGCCACTTATTCACCAAATATCTATTGAGTGCACACTACAGTATTCAATGTTTTATAAAAATGATCTCTTTGAACCCCATAATCACTCAAGGAGGTGGGCACCATCATTTTCATCTTATAAAGAAGGATATTATGCTCAGAGAGGTTAAGAAAAGTACTCAAGGCCACACAGCAGGGAAATGGCAGAATTGGGATTTGCACCCGGGTCTGGCCCCAGAGACACTGGGGATTGATCTGAGAAGCAGCAGAGGACCTTGGCATGGCACAGAATCCCTTGGAATGCCCACCCTTCCCCCTTGGCCTGGTACATTGTCCCAGATCCTTCCTGACCTTCCAGACCCAGTAAAAGCCTTGCCTCCTGCCCATGCCAACTCCAGGATTTCTTCCTCCACCTGTGGTCCCCAGTTGGTCCCCTTGACCACTCAACGTAATCATTGAGGCCCCTTGCATTGGGCTCTGGAAACTCAGCAGTGACCACAGCTATCTTGTACCTGTTTCATGAACAACCAGTCCAGTAGGGAAACAGCCAGCAAATGAGAAAACAATAGATCATAAAGACCCGATTACATAGGCTGGTCTGGGAGAGGTGGCCTGGAAGCTGAGACCACACAGGACAATCTTCCAGGAAAAGGAACACAAGCTATGGAAACCTGAAATCTGGGGACAGCTAGGGGGCAGAGGTAGCCAGAACGGAGTGAGGGTCCCAAGATGAGGCCAGCCCAGTGTGCAGGGGGTGTATGCCATCAGACTGTGACCTCCCTCAGGAGATGTTTTGGAAATGATGGGGGTGTTTTGGGTTTGCCACAGTGATTGGAGGTGTGATGACGTGTGATGAGATGTAACGGACAGGGACCAGGGATGCCAGATGTCTCAACCATCCATATGACCAAGATCTGTCCCGGACACACTTAACTTTCCAGTGTCCCGCTGGACACCCATGTGGGTAGAAAAACCCACTTATGATGGTCTGAGTCTAGAGCTCAGCTATGTTTTACATATAAACACTAAGTGTTTTTGCAATATTTTAAGATTCACTGACCTTTCCTGAAATACAAAGACTGTGTCCATCACAGCCTGCCTATTCTTGATTTTTTGGGGAACTTGATCTGGAGTTGCTCACTCTTTCTAGAAGCCACATCACCCCAGGCAATGCTGACTGTGGTGATTGTCCAAACAACACACAGTTTATTCCTATCTCATTCATGGTGAGTCTACACGGAGATGCTAGTATCTGCCTGATGAGATGCTTTTTAGAGCGGCCATGCCTGAGCATTTCTACACCAAAATAGATGATTAGTTGATTATAAGTTGTTGCCTTTTTATTTTTCCTTTGTAGTTCAGTTAGGACATGATATTCATTTCAGAAAATAAAATTTGTGTGTTGGTGGGCTCTATTACCTCTGAGTTTAATTTCAGAATACTAAAGGGGCATCTTAAAAGGTTAGATAAAGTGGGTGTCAGGTCTCACCCAGTTAAGAACCCGTGATATAGGCCAAGATCAGCCCTTTGGTCTTTGCCTTCAGAGCAATAGGAAGCCACTGAAGGGTATAAGCAAGGGAGGGACAAATGAGAAATGTGTTTTAAGATGCTCCTCTGGTTGCTGTTGATTGAATAGAGGCAGTGAGGCTGTGCCCATCAGCTCACATTGTTTCCATCTAGTCAGGGAGCAAAGTCTGAACAAAGTCTGTTGAGGACTCCCTTTTGGGGGACACTGTGTCTTTCCTTCAGAAAGAGCTTAATACATGCTTGTAGAGTGAATGTATTCTCTCTGTGGATGGGCTCAAGGTTGGGAGACGACAAAGGGAGGAATTTGTGAATGTCAGAGGAAAGGTCTTCTTGCGGTGTGATCGTCTAGCTTTCTGTAATTTCCTTTTGAAGTAATGATTTGGATAATGACTTGTTTGATGTCTGTCCTCATTGGTAATCTGTGAGCCCAAGGAGGTCAGGGTCAGGGCTGTCTCTGTCACTGATGTGTCCCCAGCATCAGCCAGCACCGGGCCAGGCGAGCAGAACAGGAGATGTTAGCAGGAAGAATGTCCACAGACTATTAATACATCATTCACATGGGTGATTCCTGTGTCTTGAGTACTTACAATGTTCTTCACTGCTCAGCTCTAAGGTCTCCTCCTCCAGGAAGCCCTCCCGACCCTCAGGCTGAGTCAGCCTTCTCTCCCAGCCCTGCCCACTCTGGGTCATCACTGACTGGGGGTGGGTCTGTTTCTCCCTCTGGACTGTAAGGGCAGGGCTAAGGCTGTTCCCACGTGTATGTGTCTCCTGTCACTTAACCCTCATTGCTTTTATTTATTTATTTATGGCCTCGCTGCACGGCTTGCAGGAATCTTAGTTCCCCAAGAAAGGATCGAACCCTGGTCTCTGCAGTGAAAGTGCAGAGTCCTAACCATTGGACCACCAGGGAATTCCCCTCATTGCTTTCTTGAGTTAAGTACCAGTATTATCCCTGATTTGCAAAGGCAGCAACTGATGTTCAGAGAGGTTAGGTGACTTGTCTATGGTCACACAGCTGGCAGGCAGCAGAACTGGGATTCCAAACTGGGTCTACCTGAGTTCAGTCTTTGCGTTTAACCATTGCCCTACACTGTTCAATAAACACTCATCAAGAGAACGAACTAATAAATGAATGCATACACAGCATCTTCCAGATCACCTGGTCCAGCTCACCTCACTTTCTTATTTTACAGAGGTGGAAATGAGGCCTCAAGAAGGATACAAGGAAGGATCCTTGGAAGGATCCAAGTTTCAGCCTCTTAAAGTCATGGTTCCTTGCCAAGGTCCCCGGGTTCACAGGCCCACTGAGTACCTTCTGGAAACCTATTAATGAAAACACACCAGTGGTCATAGGGTAGGCTGTGAGGTTTTCATCTCCCTGAAGAGGTAAATCAGACCTTTGTGTTATTATGTTGGGATCATCGGGTCAGGCAGTAGGGTGACTTGAGCACAACCCCCCCCCACCACAATTTAGGGGGTGGGCAGCATCGTGGGTAAAAGTTCAGTGATAAGCTCTGAGTTCAAGCCAGGCTCTACCACCTGCTCACTGAGTGGCTGTGGGCTTATTATTTAACCTCTCCTAACCCCAGTTTTTTCATCTGTCAAGAGGGGATGACACCGGTGCGTGCCCCAGGGCACGGACTGCAATTGTGTTTGCAAATAGCACATTTTGGCTGTGGGGTATGATTATTCAATGTTAGTTATGAAAACTGAGTCACAATTAAGGCAATAATCTTAAGGGCACTTATTTACCGAGCATCTCCTTTGGGCCGGCACCACGCTCAGGGGCTTTCCTTGCTTCCCCCCCAGACCCTCTGAAGTAGGGTTTAGCAATAGCCCCATTTTACAGATGAGCAATGGGAGGCTCAGAAAGGCCGAGGGTCTTGTCCGAGGTTGTACAGACAGTGAGTGGTAGGCTGGAGCTCGAACACGGGGCTCGGAAAGCAAGGGAGCCAGGGACTTCCTAGGCGTAGGGACAGAATGAGGTGAGAAGCCAGGAAGGATGGAGGGGATTGGAGTGACAGTTTTCACAGGGAGGACCTGTCGGTCACCGATGGACATACTCCAAGGCAGAAGATGCCAGGCTCTCTCCCATGTGGAAGAATAAGTCTCCTGGAGGGAGGAACCAGGACGGGTGTGGGAGGCCTCTGCACTAAGTGCTTTCCATAAAGTCACAGCCGAGATGGCCAGCTCAAGAATGCATGCGTCCCCTGTGTGCAGCAGGGCGGGACCCGGGGACCCAGTCAGTGCTGGTCGCTGCAGCTGTGGCATCTGCTGGAAGTGTGAGAATCCCCTTAACAATCGCACCTATTGTTTGGAGACTCTCAGATTCTCTTGCTTGTGAATTTTTTTTTTTTTTTTTTTTTTTGGCTGCAACTCGGGGCATGCAGGATCTTAGCTCCCCAACCAGGGATCGAACCCGTGCCCCCTGCAGTGGAAGCACTGAGTCCTAACCACTGGACTGCCAGGGAATTCCCAGTATTTTTTCTTTATTATTTATTTTTTCCCCAATTGTTTTCTTCTAGGACTCTGTTACTGGGGCCATGACTACCCTCCCCCCACCCCCACGCTCACCCCCCATCCTGTGGTGTTTTATTGGATCAGTAACTGAAGGGCATCCCTTCTCAGGCAAGCCTTCTTCTGCAGGGTTGCTGCTGTGTACTGAGGGAAAGTCAAAGATGATATTGATGAGAAATTCATCAGCCTGGTGTTTACTTGATCATAACCTCCACCCCCACCGCAAGGCCACACCACTCCTTGCTGCACAGACTCCACAGCTGCCCTGTTTACTTGTGAATTTCCCTCTCAGCCTCACCTCTGCCAGAAACAGCTCATGGGGGGTCCAGAGAGGGATGGGGAGGGGCTAGG